GGGGGGTTGTATTATTTGACATTACCTTCTGCACCAGTTCGTGATCGTGTCGTTAATACTGTTCAACGTTGCAGTGTCAAAGACAAACAGCAAATTTGGTTATGGCATCGCCGCTTGGGACACCCGTCATTCTAGCTACCTTAAGCGTCTGTTTCCATCTTTATTCCGCTCCTATGATGAGTCTAGCTTCAAATGTGAGACTTGTGTAATGACCAAGAGTCACCGTACTGTTTTCCCCTTAAGTAATAATAAAGCTGCTTTGCCTTTTGAGTTAGTCCATTCTGATGTATGGGGTCCTGCTCGTGTGACTTCTCATGGTTTCCGTTGGTTTGTTACGTTTATTGATAACTGAACTCGCTTAATATAGGTGTATTTGATGAAGAATAAACATGATGTTGTCTCTATTCTCCCTGATTTTTGTGCCATGGTGTCTACTCAGTTTCATGCTCATGTTAAAGTATTTCGGACCGATAATGGCGGTGAATATGTGAATCATACCTTGAATCAGTTCTTTCGTGATCACGGTATCATTCACCAAACTACCACTTCATTCACTCATCAACAGAATGTCGTGTCTGAAAGGAAAAATCGTCAGTTACTTGAAGTTGCTCGCTCTCTTATGTTGGATATGTCTGTTCCCCATCATCTTTGGGGACATGGTGTCTTGGCCGCGGCCTACTTGATTAACCGTACTCTTAGTCGGGTTCTTGATTTCAAGACTCTGCTTGATGTGTTGTGTGCCCATACTCCTCTGGTTTCGGTCTCTAAGTTACCTCCGAAGGTGTTTGGGTGTGTTGCTTATGTTCATGTCTACTCCCATCAACGAAGTAAACTTGATCCTTGTGCTCTCCGTTGCGTCTTCATTGGCTATTCTACTACTCAGAAGGGTTATAAGTGCTATCACCCGCCTACTCAGAAAGTACATGTTACTTTGGATGTCACCTTTCATGAAGAAGTACCCTATTATGTTTCCTCCTCCTCTTCAATTCAGGGGGAATGAATTGAAGAGTTTCGGAGTAGAAAATGTGGAAGATATTGGACCTGAAGAAAAAATTTATGGCGAACAGGAAGCGACCAGTTGAACGGAGAAAACGACCGGT